TTCTGAGAACATAATTATATTCTCTTACTCTGTCACTTCCTCCCTCCTGCTCATCACTTGCCACCTTCTTTTCTTCTCCCTTTTTCTCATATTTTTCAGTTTTTGAGAAAATGTATTTTAAATTTATATTACTGTAAAAAGGCTTAGTACTTCACTAAATAAGTTTAACTAGTATAAAGAAAAAAGACACTGGTTTAGTGGGAATTCAGACAACAGCTATAAACAATAACTGAATGGAAAAATGACCATTTCATCCTTGTACAGTAAACTTTAAAGTAATCACAGATCTTTAAAACTACAGAAGTATAACATTCTTAACCATTGGTTTGAGAAAGGTATAAAGAAAAGTTTACAAAACTATATTTGCAGCAACATTGATACACACAGACATTTCTCTTTTTTTAAATTTTAGGTCCCACATATTAGGGAGAAGATGCAGTATTTGTCTTTTTGGGATCCAGCTTTTTCACTAAATTTGATGTCCTTTTGTTGTGTCTGATTTGCTGCAAATGGTAGAATGCCATTCTTTTTTATAGCTGAATAATATTCCATTGTATGTGTATATCTGTATCAATACATACTACATTTTCTTTATTCATTCATTAAATGATGGACATCTTGGTTCATTCCAAATTTTTACCATTGTGAATAGTGCTGCTATAAACATGGTGGTGAATAGTGCTGCTATAAACATGGTGGTGTAGGTATCTCTTTGATTCATTGTGTTCAAGTCTTTAGGGTATATAACCAGTGGTGGGGTTGCTGGTATGGCCATTCCATTTCTAGTTTTTTTTTTTTTTAAGAAATCTTCACACTGTTTTCCACATCTCCTGTATTAGCTTACATTCCCATCAATAGTGTATACGTGTTTCCTTTTCTGCACATCCTTGCCAGTGTTTGTTACTCTGTGTTTTGAATTTTAGCCATTCTGACGGGTGAGAAGATACTTCTTTGTGGTTTTGATTTACTTCCCTGATGGTTGGTGATGTTGAGCATTTTTTTTTTAATTATTTTTTGACAGGCAGAGTGGACAGTGAGAGAGAGAGACAGAGAGAAAGGTCTTCCTTTGCCGTTGGTTCACCCTCCAATGGCCGCCGCGGCTGGCGCGCTGCGGCCGGCGCACCGTGCTGATCCGATGGCAGGAGCCAGGAGCCAGGTGCTTTTCCTGGTCTCCCATGGGGTGCAGGGCCCAAGCACCTGGGCCATCCTCCACTGCACTCCCTGGCCACAGCAGAGAGCTGGCCTGGAAGAGGGGCAACCGGGACAGAATCCAGCGCCCCAACCGGGACTAGAACCCGGTGTGCCGGCGCCGCTAGGCAGAGGATTAGCCTAGTGAGCCACGGCGCCCGGCATTTTTTATACATTTGTTAGCCATTTGCATTTCTTCTTTTGAGAACTGTCTATTAAGTTCCTTTATCCACTTCTTGACTGCTTTTTTTGTTGAGATTTTTAAGTTGCTGATATATTTGGGATATTAATATTTGTCAGATAGGGAATTGGCAAATATTTTTCTCATTCTAATGGGTGTATCTTCACTGTATTGATCATTTTCTTTGGTGTACAAAAGCTTCTGACTTTGATACAGTCTGATTGGCTTAGCTTTGCTTTTGTTGCCTGTGTTTTGGGGGTCTTATCCCAAAAGTCTTTCTCTACACCAATGCTTTGAGTGTTTTTCCTTTGTTTTCTTCCAACAACTTCATAGTCTCAGGTCTACATAATTTTAACTTGATTTTTAACATCAGGATATAACATTTGAGAAATGGACCTTGTATTTGCAAAGCAGAAATCACCAGAGAATGTTATGTGTTGCAGGATTGCAAGTGGTTCAGAGTGGTCCTATCAGGAAACATCTCCTGTGGCTTATGACTGAATTCCATTCCAAGGAAACTTACAACCTGTTGAAATATCATATATCATTAACTGGCATTGATTAAGTGCTAATTAGGCACATTGCTGTACACACAATGTTGTGGGCACTATTTCTGTCTTAGAACTTAAACTCTAAGACAAATAGTTTTATCTTTCACTATGCATTAACATTTGAGTCATGGGCCAAGCCAACAATATTATTGAACTTTTGCAATGTTTAACCCCACTTTAAATGTTAGGTGTAGAATCTGAATTTATTGAATTTAGCTAACTTAGGGATATATTTTGTTAAATCTTAGATGAATATAATATGAAATAAATATTTTAGAATCTGAATGTAATTTCTGTATGTCTAGTATTTTTAAATTATGTGTTTTGGAAAGTTTTTGAAATAGTGAAAAATGTTGTATGGTAAAATATTAATTAGCCTTAGTCTAGATTTCCAGACACTATCAGACCTGGACATTAAAGTAGCTTTGATTGTGTCGCTCCCCCTCTTCGTAGAGGAACGACACAGGACCCTGCGCTGTTCTTTCGTCTGCTCGGCCCTCCCCGGGTTTGCTGCTGGTTCTTCCCGGGTTGGCTACTATCCCTTCCACCTCCGTGGAAGGGCAGTTCCCCCTGGCCACATTCCCCACTTCCGCAGGGGAGCGGCACACTGCCGGCCGGTTCTCTCGGGGGCTGCACGGGTGTTCCTTCAGCTAGATGTTCCCCTTAGATGTTCCCCATAGGTGTTCCTGGTGCATGCCGTCTCTCTCCTCCTTTATAGTCCTCCTCCGCCAATCCTAACTCGGCTGCCCACACGCCGAGTACGCTGCTCTCCTCCAATCAGGAGCAAGTCCTACAGTTCCTTGGTTGAACTGGAGGCAGCTGTGTAGAAGTCTCTTTCTTCTCTCCCAGCGCCATATTGTGGGAGAGCAGATGCATAGAATAAGTCTTAATTCCAGTAACAATATAGTCCGAGTTGCTCCCCACAGTGGGAGAGCAGATGCATAGAATAAGTCTTAATTCCAGTAACAGTATAGTCCGAGTTGCTCCCCACAGATTGGAATACCTCCAAATTGGTAAAATCTGTCACCCAGGCTAGAGAAAAAAATATTGTCCAAGAATAGTCAAACTACAAATGCATTGTTTGCACGTCACCTTTTTTTCCTGCTATGGTGACTCTTCAGCATTTATCAAGAGGCTTTATAGGGATGGGTGTTTGGCACAAAGATGGGTTAGTTCACCACTTGGGACTCCATCTTTTCATATCATAGTCCCTGAGTTTGAGTCCTGGCTCTATTTTTGACCCAATTTCCTGTTAAAATACAGCCTTGGAAGAAGCAGGTGATGGTGCAAGTAATTGAGTCCCTGCAGTCCATGTCAGAAACCAACCCAGAGTACTGGGCTATTGGTTTAGGCCTGGCACCAGCTCCAGCTATTGTAGACATTCAGGGAGTGAACCAGTAGATGGAAAGGTCTCTCTCTCTCTCTCTCTCTCTCTCTCTCTCTCTTTCTCTTGCTCACTCTCCCTCTCTCCCCTCTTCCACCCCCTCTTTCTAACCAATAAAAAATATTGAAAAAGAAAACTCTCCCATTTCCAATAACTACAAGGCATGAAAAAGGGAAAGAAATTAAGAAATAAAGGGAAAGAAAGAAGGAAGAAAAGAAGGAAGGAAGAAAGAAAAGTAAAGAAAGAAGATGAGAAAGGGGAAAAGAGAACCACAAAAAAGGCTTATGAATAGTTCCTGTGGTATCCAAGTGTCTTCTGTCATTTGAGATATGCAGATTTGTACTCTTCAGTGATCCATGGCATCTATAAGTTTTTCTTTCTCCAGACCCAGCCCACTATGGGGACATCTCTAAGATTTTAGGTGTCACGGAAAGGGACAGGCTGCCCACTGTACAAAGCCTCACTGATGGTGCCCTTACAATCTAAAGTGCCCACATACAAATTTTGCTTTCCAACGCTGTCTTCAGGACATTTCCTTCCTCTTTCATCCTTTGATTATAGAGTCCTCAGATGTCACCATCAGCATGGCTGAACTGGCTGTATGTCCTAAGTGATTGACATTGATGCTTCTCATATCTTCTCAGTTCCCCATGAAAATATTAAAGACTAAAAAATGAATGATGGAATCTGACCTGAAATAGACAACATGCTGTAGCCAAAGTTGCCTGTACCTTGATTCCTATGTACTTTAATCGATACTAATTCCTCTCCACTATCTTTCTTTTGGTTGACTTTGTTTTCCTCAGGGATGATATAACATTCCAGTAGCCCCATCAAAGAGTCCTCATTAGCAATCTTTCCTCTGCTCTAGTATAAGAAAGAAATACCCACTCGTTTATTAGCAGAAAAGTCCCAGAATTTCCAGAAAAACAAGGAAATAAAGTGGTGTTGTAAAACACCACTTTATAACAACACTTTATAAAGTTTTAATACAGTACCTAATATTCAGCATCTTAGCCAAACAGCAAAGTTTTGTAGAGAGTATTAACCATTCTTGAAATCTCTGTGTAGAGAAAGGTAGGAAGTATATGGGGGGGTGGGGATGGGGAATAGAGAAAAATCCAAGCAAAGAAAGAAGCAGAGAGCTGTAGACTCAGAAGAATAGCAGCAATTAGAAATAATGCCACATGCAGGAAGCAGTGTTTAAAATCAGCCAGTCAGGAATTTAGTCAAAATGAACACCAACAGTCATAAAGGGGACTTGCAAAAACAAATATGAAATGAAATCTTCCGCATAGGCCTACCTTAGAAAATTGCACTGGTGGTAAATATCAGCTTCTTTTCCTTGAAGGATTAGAGCAATGTATATGCTTGGCCATCTGCCAGCGTACATGATACTTGCTTGAAAACCAGTGAGCACATGGTTGCCTCTTGATGCAACATGCATGTGAGGCATGGATGTGCTGGTGGGTGTTGTGCTGTGGGGGACAGGAGGAAAGTCTGTGTAGGGGGAGAGAGAGAGCAAAAGAGGGGGTAGTTTTAATCCATTTTTAAAGAAAATTCATCAGATTTATCAGTGGAGAATATAAACATAAATTAATATCTATATTGATTGTTTATTCAGCAAAAATAATTGTGTCGCCAAATTGCAAGGGTAAAAAATGCAGTATTAAAAATTAAACATGCTTTTTTTCAGAATAAATGTTCAACCATTTTTAAAGAATTGGAGGAAACTAAAAGTAAAACCATTATTTATCATGCAAAGATAGATGAACTGATTCAGGAATTAGAAAGAAAAGAAGAGGAAAGGAAATGTTTTGAACAGATGCTAGACAATTTAAAGTAAGTGTTTAGATTTCCTCAAAATCGTATATTTAATATATTTTTAATAAAAAAAGAATGTCAAGTTTCCTATCTCATTATGTTTATTCTTTAAGTGGATTGGTTTCCATCATTTAATATGCTTTTGATGTTCAATAATTTTAGTTTATAAATGCATAACCATAAATTACTTTCGTTCTTCATTGCTACCTTGAATTTATGGATATTGGGATAACTGGTGATGTTTCTCCTTTTCTAAGTTTTATTCTTCAATGATATTAATAGTATTCTCTATTAATTTCAGTATTTCTAAGCCATATTTAATAATTTGTGAATTTTCGCCACTGTTTTTAAAGGTTTTGAATAGAGTTTTGAAGGGAGAGGTTAGGAATAAATATTCTGCAAAAGCCCATGTAATTATTCATATCCATCATCATCAGGAACCTTATGTAGTCACTTGGTAAGTCAGGGTACACCTGACAAATGTTGGCTTGCAGAATGAACATGCTCTAAAATCCACGGGGTATCCTTAGACTCTAGAATGGCGCACTCTTTTTTTTTTTTCTTAAAGATCTATTTATTTACTTGAAAGGCAGAGTTACAGAGAAGCACAGGCAGAGGCAGAGAGAAGAGAGAGAGAGAGAGAGAGAGAGAGAGAGAGAGAGGTTTTCCATCAGTGGCTCACTCCCCAGATGGCCGCAATGGCAGGAGCTGTGCCTGTCTGAAGCCAGGAGCCATGAGCTGCTTCCAGGTCTCCCATGTGGGTGCAGGGGCCCAAGGATTTGAGCCATATTCTACTGCAATCCCAGGCCATAGCAGAGAGCTGGATCAAAAGTAGAGCATCACAAACTTGAACAAGCACTCTTGTGGGATGCCAGCGCTGCAGGTAGTGGCTTTACTTGCTACACCACAGCACCAGCCCCCAGTGTACTCAAATCATCCTGTTATTTTCTGTGTTGTGACAAATTGAGGATTGTACTTGGAGGGCAGTAAGAGTAATATGCACTGATCACACTTAAGGATGATAGTTTCCTTTAAATACTAAGGAACTTCAAAGTGTATAAAGTAGAATTAAAACATAAGCTTATTTTGGTGCAAAAAGTTTTTGAACACTATTCACAGATTTTTCATAATATGCATTTTTCATGAACATAGTGAAAACCCCTCATTTAAATGGACTTCAATTTTTTTGCACCAAAATAATCTTTTAATTTCATTTCCATTAACATTTGAAGTCCCCTTGTATAATATCATTTCTAAATGAGTGCAGAGGAAACAGAGACTTAGGAAAATTAAACGATTATCGTAATATCACACAGCTAATTAGCTAGTGCTGGCGTAGGTCCATCATCCCCCAAAGTGTGTATTCTGAACTGTGCATACTGACTCCTTAAACTACAATTGCAAAGGAAGATTACAATAGATACGTGGTATTATGAATAACCTACTTGCATTTTCAATATTTACTAATTCTGTATTTTGAACCTGTGCTGGGCCTAGATCTGGCCTTGAGAGGCACAAAGAAATGGCATATGGGAAAATTTATCTTCAATTGATTGAACATCTTTTTTAGAGAGATAAAACTTGTATATGTAGGACAATTAAAATATGAAGTCTAAACCATGGCAATTAAATCTACTCTTGGATCTCATTTAATTTTTATAATTGCTTCTTAACTAGGAAGTGTCAGGATTCAATCCTGACCCATAAGACCTCATAATTTGCTCTTTTTGTCACTGTGAGAAGGAAACACATTTTTTATGCATATAAATATACACATAAATATATATGTGTGTTTATATAATTCATAGCATTTTATATTGAACATGATCCAATCTCAAAACATTAGTTTCTAGAACAAAGTACAGAAAGTCAAGATGTGGCAATGTTTGTTGGGAGCAACTCTGAACATTCTATGTTTTTGGACACATTAGATCCTTCCTATATGAATTTCCTTGGTTTCCTATGCTCCATGATGTCAATATTATTGGATACTTGGATAAGACATCTCTTAAGAACTTGGGTTGTTGCTGGTATGGATATTGGAGTTGGGGGAAAAACAAAACAGGGCGAGTCAAAGGAAAGAGGAAAAGGCCCTTATTTCTTGTAGAAGGAGAGACTCATGTCTATAATATATCAACAAGGGGTCCCGTTTTCATATCTGCAGATAATAGGCATGAAGAGAGAAAAACTGTGAGCACTTGATGCTGAGCTGCTAAATCAAACAGAGAGAGATATTGGATTTGAATTCTGGCTCTGTCATGCACTAAATATTTGAGCAGTGAATTCACACTGTATGTGTAGGTTCCTCAACTGTAAATAGCTTTAACTATCTTTTCATGGGGTTGTTTTTGTTCTATTAAATGCGACTTTATTAAAAACACTTTAACATTTTAGCCCTTATTAAAAATTAGTTATGCTGCCTTTATTGCTAACTCTGCAAGTGATGTAATTTTCTCTATAGTAGAGATAAAAAGAAATGGAGTTAGCATAAGACTATCCTGTTTCTAGTTAGTCTCCCTCTGTATTCTGGTTGCTGCTTAACACTTGTAAAATTTCTTAAGCATCGTTATTGTTGTCAATGTTTTACCTACCTTTTAAAAAAAGATTTATTTATTTGAAAGTCAGAGTTACACAGAGAGAGGAGAAGCAGAGAGAGAGAGAGAGAGAGAGAGAGGTCTTCCATCTGATGGTTCACTTCCCAATTGGCCGTGACAGCTGGAGCTGTGCCAATCCGAAGCCAGGAGCCAGGAACTTCTTCCGGATCTCCCATGTGGGTGCAGGGCCCAAGGTACTTGGGCCATCTTCGACTGCTGTCCCAGGCCACAGCAGAGAGCTGGATTGGAAGTGGAGCAGCCTGGACTAGAACCGGCGCCCATATGGGATGCTGGTGCTTCAGGCCAGGGCATTAACCCACTGCACCACAGTGCCGGCCCCTACCTACTTTCTGATACTTTTTCTACTAGTATCATTCCTTCCGTAATGACTGAGTTCACCCTAAATGTCACTTTATCTTTGTGTCAGAATGTAGTTAATTTTGTGTGAGAAAATGCACATACACTCACATTCACACAGCACCTTAAACAGGAAAGTGTATCCGCAGGCAGGGCAAGGTGCAAGGTTGGTTGACTCAGCAATTCTACACAACAGATTCATTTTTTTGTTCACCACTGTAGCTATTGTAAGCAACTTTAGAAATATGCCTTGTATTCACATTTAGTAGACATGAGCTTTTCCTGTACATGGAATTATGTGTTGTTTTTTATTTTATTGGGCTAGTTAATATAGGTGTTCACTGCTGGACGTGTGCTGATGGTCACAATGTAATCCGAAACTATCTCTAGAATTACATGACACCTGCAGGAAGGTTTCTCCTAGATTGCTAGGTTGCATGTGCAGCCAAGAGAATCCACTCCATGTCTCCATCGATGTCCTTTTCCTTGGATCATCGAGCTATAGTTCTATGGAGGTGGGCCTTTGGAAGGGATTAGGTAATTTTCCAAGGTTCTTTGGCTCTAAGGCTCTGCAAATTAGATTTCTTTAAATGTCTCATAAACATATTTTAGCAAATATGAATTGGTTGTTGACACATGAAATTCTTTTTTCATAGAGAAATATTTTTAACTGCACAATTTAAAAAGGAACATGCACAAGCTGTGTTTGATCATCTCATGCAAGAGAAAACACACTGTGAAGAGAGACTCTTTGAGGAAGAGCAGAGATTTAGAAAGCTCTTTGCCATGAGGCAAAATACTCTGGAACACATGAAAGTGAGTATTACTTTTGACTCTTTTAAAAATGAAGGTGTACAGAGTTTTTTTCAGTATTTTTAGAAATACTGCTTATTTTTGGGAAATACAAAGGGAAAAATTTCTGCAAAGCTTTTAATTTAATATACATGTGATATCATAATATATTTTATCAGCTATTCAAATCCTCATTTATGTATTAAAATACATGTATTTAATTTCAATTATTTTCTTTTTATATATTCAAAGATAATATTAGTAAATCTTTAAAAAGATAATTTGAGCACATATACACTGAATACACCCATATCTCGGTATGAATGAACATAGCATCTTGCTTTGACCTGTCTTATAAGAAAATTATCAATAAAACATGATAATTTTATTAATAGTATTGCTAAGTAATATTTTTCCATTTTAAATATGGCCGTTACATAGTAAACGTTTTTTTTTTTTTCCTCTTTAACATAAAAATATGAAAATAATTGGCGCCATCTAGTGGCGTAAACGATACTTCCTCTCAGAGGAGCTAGGATGGCTGAGACCAGACGCTGTGGAAGCTCAGACTTAAATGCACTTCTCAGACCGGAAGGTTTAAGTTATTTACTGACTGAAGCATCATCCCCCACCTCATATTTCATCACAGCGGTAGAATTAGTTGTTTGAATCCAACCACATTTTCCAATCGTACTGGTGCTGAGAACACAGTGGGATCTCAATAATCATTTATTGACTGGCATTTCAACACTTCGTGGAACAATAATAATTAGTGAAATGGCAACATCTGGTCAGCAGGAGTGAGATGAATGAAAAGTCCAATATAGCCAGGCTCTAAATGATAGAGATGTGTATTTCTTTCTATCAGAAAGCCTGTCCCTGCCCTCTTTTTTCCTAGTGTACCTACCCCTAGCCACTTGGAAGTATTATGACCTGGCTCACGGTCTGATCATGAATCTCTGTCTGAACTTGTTTTGCTCATTCATTTGCACGTTGTTGTCTGCCCTTCTCCTGCTATAACAATGCATGCTCCACCAGGGCCCGAAATTTTCCATCATACTCTTTTCTGTGTCTGAAAAGCTCAGAACTGTGTTTCCACAGAGGAGGCACTCAATACATATATGTTGAGTATTTGATGAGTAAGTAGATGAACGGATGCCTTCTATTTGACAATTTTGCTCTCCACATGCATTGTAGTAGCTCGAAGCAGGGGGATTTCCAAAACACTTTCCAAATGGCACCAACCAAATACTCCTTCCAGTTCACTGAATGTTCACGCTGTGTGCAGCACTGGAAGCTCTCTTCCTTTCTCTTACTCTTTCTACTTGATAACACATGAGAAATTTGCCACAGAATCTGCCCCCTTTAAAGAAAATGGTTAAATCACTATTCATTTCCCTACCTGGAAGAATCTGTGGAATATCTCAGTAATATTGCTGTTTCTTGGGTGTCTCTTTATTATACGTTCATTTTTGCAACCAGAAACAGGTAGTTTGAGCATGTTAGCTTTAAGAGGTGGATATACCTCATCATTGGTGATACTATTCATCTGTTTTTATGTTGAGCTATTGAGTGTTAAACAGTGGTGGAAAATGTCATTCCTCTAAGCAAGCTCCTTGTCCCTGCTTGGAAATTGGATAAGTTTGTAAATGTGTGTGTAATGTGTAATATAAATCATTCTTAGAAAGAACAAAAAAATTATGAAGGCACCACTATAAATGTAGTGTTGGGGCTGGTGCTGTGTCATCCTTGGTAAGGCCGCCACCTGGGACACTGGCATCCCATATGGGCGCACGTACCCGGTACCCATTCCCCACTTCTCCCTTCCTATCTGGCTTCCTGCTAATGGCCTAGGAAAAGTGGTAGAGGATGACCCAAGTGTTTGAGCATCTGCCACCCTGTGGGGTCCTGGATGAGGCCTCCCTCTTTCTCTCTCTTTCTCCCTATAATTCTTAGTTTCAAAATAAATAAATAAATATTTTTTAAAACAAAAGAATGTGCTACCAATCTGAGGTACCTCTTCTGGGCAAAAGAATTGATAAAAATTATGGATCATTTGTAGGAATTGTTTAAGAAAATACTTTATAAAAACAACAATAGAATTAACGAAGGATGTTAGAAAAATGTACCACATAATTATTATACAAGCATCTAATAAAATAGCTTAAGAGAAATTATGCACAAACTTCACACAACATACAGCATGATGCTGGAGTTAAATTCAGTCTCTCTTTGGCAGATAACTCCAAATCACATATAGTTCAATGATAAAAGCTTTTATGTCCTGGAATTTTTTAGTAACTGACTATACTTTGCAAATATAACTTCTCAAGATTAAAATTTCAGTATGACCTAATCATCAGAGTACTTTAGCTACTGCTGTTGCTCTTGCTTTTAGAACCATCCATAAAAAACTGGAGCTTACAGCCGGCACCGCGGCTCACTAGGCTAATCTTCCGCCTAGCGGCGCCGGCACACTGGGTTCTAGTCCCGGTTAGGGCGCCGGATTCTGTCCCGGTTGCCCCTCTTCCAGGCCAGCTCTCTGCTGTGGCCAGGGAGTGCAGTGGAGGATGGCCCAGGTGCTTGGGCCCTGCACCCCATGGGAGACCAGGAAAATCACCTGGCTCCTGGCTCCTGGCTCCTGCCATCGGATCAGCGCGGTGCGCCGGCCGCAGCATGCCGGCCGCGGCGGCCATTGGAGGGTGAACCAATGGCAAAGGAAGACCTTTCTCTCTGTCTCTCTCTCTCACTGTCCACTCTGCCTGTCAAAAACAAAACAAAACAAAACAAAACAAAACAAAAAAAACACTGGAGCTTACAAAGGCGTTTTAGTCTGTTATGAGCTGTCCACAGAAGGTCCGCTGTGTTTTCTATATCAATGCCTTTCTCTATGCGTACTTTCTGAATGCTGTTTTTTTTTTTTTTTTTTTGCCATAATTTAACTTCTGTGAAGGAATAAAATGAACTATACTAGAAGAATAAATTCCAGATCTATCAGAGACAATCCTCCCATACCTTGTAGAGTTTACTGGTTTTTATTTTGCTTCTCTCAGGAAATAGCTCTTCCCCATCACTATCATAGGTCCAAAGGTTTTCTTGACCCTTTCTCATGAGAAATTCATAGAACATAATTGTTAGCAGTGACTCATGCCTCATTGGACATTCAAGTAATAAAATAGTAAAAAAATAAATTTTAGCTCCAAGATAATTTTAACTATAATTTTTAATTGTTTCTCCTATTGGCCATTTAGCCTTTCTCCATTTTCACGATTATTCTGTGAGTACTACTATGCTTGAGGCATTCAAAATTGCATGACCAAACCCTAACATTAGTTTGAAAAGTGGATCAGCAGGAAGATTGAAGAGGTGAAAAAACAGACTAAAATATAGTGATGATACTCAAATTACAAATAGTAAATTGTGCCACTGGCCCACCGCTCTGAAACATTGGAGATTATTATGAGTGGAAAAGAAAAAAGTCTTACATATTCTGTGGTCTCAGGAGTGGGCCACAAGTTTGTGATAAACATGGAAACATTTAGGGGAACAGACCAGTGAATTTTCCAGGCAAAATAATCTGCTTTAATGATAACCTTCCTGTGCCAAAACTATTTTAATATACCATGAAATTGTTTAAAATTAGGCACATAGTTTATATAATTAATATTTGTTTAAAGCACTTATGGTAGGATTCATGTAATGACATGAATTATACTCATCATGTGGTTTCTTATCTTGTTATAATCCATGGCTCTTTGAGGAATGAGTGCTTTAATTTGAGAACTTGTGGCACAAGTAGTAATTATGTATCAGGGAACACAGTGCTTCAGTGATTACAGGCACTTAGAAATCAGGAGAGAGTAACACTAGACTACAGAGGAAGGAGGGGACATGGGTGTGGGTGATTCCCAAATATAAATTTAATAGAGCATGATCCATTAAGCAAGAAAGAGTGACCCTTCTCTTTTGTGCCTCTGTCTAGCATCATGTCACTCCTGGCTGATGTGTCTCAGAATTACTGCTAATCCTTGGTTTATTCACTGTCAGTGTGAAACTTGAAAAGATTGTTTTTATCATTTGTATTGAGCCACCATTTTAAGCTTTTCCTCCCGAAATATCTAGCAGCATCTATCTATTGCAATACTTGGCTGTAGTTCATTTCATTTTTTATACATTAGTATTTTTGTATATAGTTGTGATAATACTCTGTGAACACCTTCTAAATAAATATATATATATATATATATATATAAAAATTTTAGTAACATTCACTTTCAATTGAGGCTGCTATTTTTGGAATACCTTCCCTCACTTGAGATTAACAGGAAAAATACAAGATTTTTTTTCTTTTTTTTGATAGATCAAGATAATTATGAGTCTCCAAATATCAAATTGTGTTTTAAAATATACCTTAATTAGAAGTCAAATACATTACTGGATTAGATGTTTCATCACTTAATTTGAAATATCTACTGCCCTATAATTCCATTCTGTTATTTTGTATTTTTGAGCAAAATACTTTTGTACTTAGTTAAAAATGCTGGTATTGGAAATTTAGTTGGGGCTAGAGCTGTAGCATAGTGGGTAATGCCCATGCCTGCATTGCCCACATCCCATATGGGCACCTGTTGAGTCCCAGCTGCCTTCCTTCCAATCCAGCTCTGTTATAGCCTGGAAAACAATGGAAGATGGTCTAAGTTATTGGCTCCTCTACCTGCATAGGAGACCTCGAGGAAGCTCCTGGCTCCTGGCTTCTGGCTTCGGATTGAAACACAGCTCTAGCCAGCCGTTGCAGCCATCTGGGGAGTGAATGGATGGAAGACATCTCTCTCTCTCTCCCTCTCTCTCTCTCTCCCCCTCCCTTTGCTTCTCTGTAACTCTGCTTTTCAAATAAATAAATCTTCAAAAGGAAATGATTTTTTTAAAAAAAGAAATTTATCATAGCTTTTAAAATAAAGCAGGAAGAGTTTTTCTTTTTCCCTTTTCTATGTTAAATAGCATTGGACATTTCAGTTCCTTGAAGGTTTGAGAACTTCTCCCAGGATCCTATCAAGATGTGTCAGAGGACTGAGGTTTTACTCTAGTTTTAAGGCAACAGTTTGGCCTGCCACAGATGCTGGCAACAGACCTGAAACTCCAGTCAGCATGACCTTCCCGGTCACGCAGGTTCCCCTTGGCTGCAGGACTCACAGAGGTGATACTATGGTGGTCCATGTTGTATTGTAGTGGTCCATGTGGATGCTACATATGTAGGGATTTTTTTTACAGCCTGATGAACCCTGATTATAGGAATTCCCCCTATTTTATAAGAAAGTTTCTAGCACCCTTGTTCAACCTTTGCCTTGGAGTAAGATATCAGATCTGTTATACAGATACATGTATCCTTGAAAACATAGTTCTAGATCAAAAAAAAAAAAAAAAAAACCAACTCAGAAAAAGTGTGTGCATTATAGTGAGTTAGTCCCAATAGATATTCTTTGACCTTGGTTCTTTTTTGGAGAAAACATTTCAGTGTTCTATCCAATTTCTTCTTCGCTTTAACATGATTAATGTTTTTGAATTCCATTTGAATCAATATTGGAAAGTTACATTTTTCTAGAAAAGGTCATTTTAACAAGATTTGCAAATTTATTTTCATCAAGCCATATGAAATAGAATTTTTTCATCTATGCTGCTTCTTTAGTCATATTTCTTTTGTGTCTATTGGTCTTTTAGTGTTTAGTTTTACTTTGTATTTTTACTTGACCTCTTGCTGAACGTTTTCCTTTTAGATATTTACCCACATATTCCAAAATTTGATTCAGTTATAAATATTAATTAATTTTGTTTTCTAATTTGTTTATTTTAGTTTTTTGTTTTATTTATTATTCCTTTTGAGTGATTTTTATAATTTTTATTTATCCACTAGAATATTCTATTTCATTCTTTCTTATTCAGTGATTGAAAGTACACTTTATTATTATCATCATGTATTTATTTGAGAGGTATAATTACAGTCAGAGAGAGGGAGAGACAGAGAGAAAGGCTTACTCCACAGATGGCCACAACGGCTGAGGCTAAGCCGGTCGGAAGCGATGAGCCAGGAGCTTCTTCCTCATTCCCCATGCTGGTGCAGGTGCCTAAGCACTTGGTCCATCTTCTGCTGCTTTCACAGGCCATACCAGAGAGCTGGATGGGAAGCAGAGCATCCAGGACACAAACTGGCACCCATATGGGATTCAGGCACTGCAGACGGAGGCTTAGTCTACTATACCACAGCACTGGCACTAAAAGTACAATTTTAAAATGCTAAATTATCCTCTGAATACAATTTTGTCAATTTTAATATAGAGTTTTCTCCTTCTGTTTTCTTTGGCACATTTACCCACTTATATTTAAAGAATGTCATTACCTAGAGGCCTTACTGTGGGGGCAAAGGGTAATAAATAAACAAATAATAATATAAATCATTATTTAGGAGGTTTTTTTTGTTTCTACCAAATTGGAAGCAGAGGATGACGGGTATTCTTTAAATTTCTGTGAAATGGTATTTGTTTAATTTGGAAAGGATTATCAAATACGATCACAGCAACTTTTGCTCCATACATAATTGAGGTGCTAATAAATTTAAAAATGATTAGTTCAACAGTTAATTATAATTTTCACATGACAATTTCTGTGTTTTTGTCTACTTCATCTTTCACTAATTATTAGTGGAATATGGAATTTCATAGAATATTCATGGAACATTGAATTTCCTATATTGTGAGTTTTTCTTTATATTTTTGGGCTATAATCAGTACATACAGGCTCATAATTATTTGTCATTTCAACTATAATTTTTATGCAACTGCAATTATCTCATGTACATTATTTTGAACTTAAAATACCTCCTGCTTTTCTGTATAATATGCTAATTTGATTTTGCATTTTAATATCAACTATTCTGCCTTATTCTTTACTTTTGCCTCCAGTCTCCTTTACACAAGTATAATAATAATATTTAGAGTGAGTGATTTTTTCCTTTTTAACACATTCTTATTTGATAATTCCATTATTGCTTCTATCTGTTTTAATTCTTTTTATGTTCATAGTACTTTTATGCTTTTGTTTATTTATTGTTGGTTTATTTGCTGTTATAGTTTGATTTTATTGCTGTTAGAAATAGATAATGGAGACCTTCTACTTTTAACCATATCATTGTTTTTAATAAATAAATATATTCTTCTTAAAATGAAAGTACAAGTTGAAGATGTAAGTTTAAAAAAATTGCTTTGATAGTGAAAGAACCCTGATGGAACAGTGATGAGGATGTAGACTTAACAGAAACATGCCAAGTTGGATGTGATATGTGAAAAGAATAGAATACAGGAAGTGATACAATTCTGGCTGACTGGAGAAAATATGGTAACCTTAACAACAGAAAGAGCTTTTGATGGTTAGACTTGCTGACAGGATGATTTGTTTGGGATGTATAGATATATAAGAGATTATATAACTCAAAACAAATATCCACTAACTCAGCATATGGAGGTACAGTTTGTGAGAAAGAATGGAAATAGAGTATGAAACCGAGTCAGCCACTATATTGATAATTAAAGCCATGGGGGCACATGAATGCTTTGAATAGAGGTGTTTGAGAACCGAGTAGCAGACTGATGCACTGTTGTCTCAGCTCTTTTATATTCAGCTGGGTGAATATGAAGCTCCCACTCTGCAGGCCACGTTTTTCCTGGCTCTAGAGTAGTCTCTGCAGAAAGGACACTAAAGGACGAGTGAAAGTTTGAAATAGGAAGAGAAGTAAAGTGTTACTTTCTGGTTACTTCCTGTCAGCTGATGAAAATCAGACAAAAGGATCCCCCTCCACAGAAGCCTATGTCCAGGCTCACAGAGTCTGCTCTTCAAGCCCAGAAACAATAGCTTCAATCAAGAGGCCTGAGTTTCTGCTCTACAGAGAATAAACAGTGCCAAGTATTATCAAAGTGAGTCACTTAATTTGACCATGTGGGAGCCTTGGTGACAGAAAGAAGGGTATAAGTTGATTGAGAAAGGTAGATAGTCAAATATAAAGGTGAAATGGGCAAGATATGGAAAGAAATAGAGAAGATGGTTTTAGAATATTTTTGAGAGCTTTAGTAATAAAAGGAGTTTGTATATTTTTGTTTTCAAATTGGAAACCCCAGGTATGTTTCCCAGTAGAAGGGAAAGGGACAAATTTGACTTAGAGATTGAACTATATGATGAATGATGCAATTCTGCTTAAATCTTTGTTTCCAACTGGAATGTTGGTGAAGCTTTTTAAGGAGAGAATAATACCTCATTCATGTGAGTAAATCCAGAATCTGACACAATGTCTGGGACATAATAAGTCCCAAACATTTTCTGAATCAAAGTCCAAATTATGTGATTCAGCTCCTATAATAAGTGAAAAAGTGAATTTTATATGTCAGTTTATTTTTGCAAAAATACTGTTCCCCAGCCATCTACCCACCTTTCCAACTACTAATTCATCTACTTTTTAAATTTATTTTGAAGTCATATGCTGAATATGACTGCGCCAGATTATGCATGTGTTAAATGCAAAGAAGCACCTGCTTTCAAAGAGCCTCCCTGAGCAGTGGGAGAAGAAACAGGCACCAGTGAATTAACAGGACATACAGTGAGTGTTTTCCTTGAATTAAGTGGATTTATCTGGGACCAAGGAAGAAGGATTTGAGGGAAATCTGACAAGGCTTTCTAAGTAGATATAGACAGAATTAAGTGTTGGAGGATGAGACTACTTCAAGTAGCTGAAACAGAGGAAAGGCATGCAGTTACAAAAAATCAGTGTACATGTAGGAACTTCAGGTAATTTACAATGTTTGAAGACCAAATCCATACATACAGGCAGAAACCATAGCATGAGGAGTGCATGCATACAAGTAGAAGTCACATTATGAAGGCTCTCAATGTCATCCTAAGAAATTTGTGTCTCTGTATGTGAGAGTGTGAATAACTGATCAGAAAGCTACCATAGCAGCTGAGAAAAATCCTAGGAAAATTAGCAGGCATTTCCCTTGATCTGTTGTTTTACCATGGTGTGGTGTTAACAAGCTATAGGTGGCCTGAGACTGATTCCCGTCAGCACCCAGAGTTGAGAAGCACCTAGGGTGGCTGGAGATTAGACTTAGAAGTCTCTGCCATGAGACAGCCTTGTCTGTTTACCTCCAGTTGTTAAGGTAAATATTTCATTTTGTATTTATTCTATGACATAAAAATGATTGAATATCATTGTGTTTACTAAGTTGGAGAGGAATAATGATCCTGGATGAAGCAAACTAACGGGTAATTTATCAGTGAAATGATGAGGTTCTAGTGACTGGTAAGGGAAATTCCAGAGTTTTTTTAGTTAGTATAGGAAGAATTGATGACGCTTTGGGTTCTGATGGTGAGAGGGGTTCTCTAAGTATGCAGTAGGTTTCTGACTTGGACAACAAGATAGCTAAGGGTATCAGCATCTCAATACAGGTATTATAGGTTGAGGAATAGATTTGAAACTGCATTTAATTGAATTGATATAGAGTCTGATGGAGGGCATTATTTGGAGGCCAGTGTCCTGATAAATGTAAGAATGTGGAACACAAGAAACAAGCATTGAGTGTAGATATGGTTGTGGAAATTATTAGCATGTGCATTGTGGCAGAGGCTTCAGGAAATCTTAAGAACACAGTCAGCATAAGAGGAGGGATCCAAACAGACCTGGTTGGGTGTGTATGAGATAGAAAGGGGAATAAAAACAGAGGAAGCAAAAGGCTCAGAGGTTGTAGTTAGAAAGTGAGGCATCAGAGTTTAAAACTTCAAAGTGGTGCCATTTTAGATAACAAAGTCAGAAGGGTGACCATCGGTATGAGTGGTTAATGGAATGTGGAATTGAAGTTAACTTGATTTGAGTAAGTCCATAAATTCTAAGATTAAAATATTGGAAAGGTCATTGAGATAGATATTAAAATGAAACAGAATGATGCTGGAACAAGGGATAGACCGGAAGAAGAGATTGTGTCCCATGGGCCAGAGTCTTCATTTAGTGTGGAAAAATTACCAGAACTGTAAAAAAAAAAAGCTATAGTGTTATTGTATATATTATATTCTTTAATCAATATAAAATTAAAAGCAAAAAAATGTATTTATGTAAGCAGGGAGAATAATGGTTTTCTCTGCAAAAATGGAGAGAAAGGGTTGTGTTAACTAAAACTACACTTTCTGGTATATGGGACCTCAAGAAACCAGTATTCTCTAACTCAGGCCCAGATTTAGCTCATGGAAATAATTGCATGTAGTGCCTTTTACCAAAGATGGACTACATCTGAGCTTCTTTAACAAGGAATGATACTTCGAGAATTCATATATGAAAAGGTTTAAACTAGGACAATTGTTCAGTCCAATTAATAAGTATTTATTAAGTTTCTGCCACATGAAATAACCCATTCTTGATACTGAGGACTGTTGGGATAAAGCCTCATCCTTAACTCTGAGAAGCCTATCAGCCTAGCAGAAGAGAGAGAATTAGAAACGTCTTTTCAATATGATTTACTAACCAGAGACAGATTCAAAAGGGGAAGGAGTAGTTAAAATGAAACATTCAAATATTGTTGCCTCTCATCAAAAATTTTTTTTAAGATAGGAAATGAGTTCCTGGGACACAAAGACTTGATATAGTATTGCCCCGCCTTTATCATCAATAATGGTGTCAACAGAATTATATTGTGTCGTAAGGTATTGTAAATATGCACTTACAGATCAGGGTCTCTAATCAAGAATTTTTTTAAAAAAAGTCACATAAAACCAGCTTAGCATTGCTCAGTAACATAACACATTTTTTCTTAATCTTGGTTGCTCATATAATTAAAAGAATCTTCTATTGTCCACCTTCCTTTACATTATATCTGTCTTACATGGGTTGTTAAATTCAGGAAGATCACTTGATCTTGCTTTCAGAAAAATGAATTTAATGCTGCATATATGAGATATCTATAGAGTTATGTTATTCACAAGCATAGATCCTAAAGTGGTCCACCAGAGGCAGGAAATTATTGTCCACTTCTGAAAGTTTGTAGTGTGTTTTTGTTTCTTTAAGCTTTTCAAGGGAGTTGAAACAGATTAGAGAGAGAGAGAGAGAGAGGCAGGCTAGCTCTCACTTTGTCTTTAATGAGTTATCAGTAGCTCTCCATAGAAGTAACAGCACCATGTGTTCCCTGTTAGAGTTACAATTCTTGAATCTGGCCTTTTGCTCTGACAAATATAACAAAAGTGACTTGCTCAGTGTCCTGTGGGGAGTGTTGTTAAGATTACCCAAATAGCCCTCCCACTGTCTGATTTATTTGCTTATAGAGAACATGTGTACCTGACTCCTGAGGGAGCTGCATATCTCAAATTTGGGTGCCATGATAATAATAACAGTTTGAGAGAAAATGAAATAGGCTATAAAGAGAAAGGAAATGGAATATATAAACTATTGTACAGTGTCATATTCATTTTCAGTACTATATAAAATAATGAAAATGTTTTTCGATAACCTTTGTTGATTTTTATAATGTGAAACACACTTTAGGGAAGAAGACAATGTATAAACCAAAAAAAAATTAGTAAAAATACTTTTAGCTATTGACTCCAATTTCTGTATTATTTCTCATAAATTTAGATTAGAATTGAATGCTGAAATGGCACAGCATTAAGATTAAAAAAAATTGCCCATCTTTAGGAACTCTAAGTTGCTCTTTCAGGGTTCAAGTGCCAGGATTGTCTCTTTGATCAAGAAATCCAGTGTGGTAATCAGCAGAGACTTTATTTTCATAATTTTGCAGTTGGGGGACTTAAACTTAGAGACATTGAGCAAGCCTTTTCCACAATCACTCAGCTTTCATGTTGTACATCTGGGATTATTTAGGGGATCTTTTCCCGTACTCCGTCTCCCCACACACGAATATCCTGAAAATCCCTAGTAAACAGGAAGCAAGTAGGGTAACAGTACCGTTTTCCACAAGTGCTCCAGTGGCCTTCCACAGGTCATTTCTTTGGGTACTAGGATCAATCAAGAGAAATCAAAAAGAACTCACAAAAACTCCAGTGATTAAGTGTCTCTCTGAAGTTAAAAGGTAGACAGAATCTATACAGATTGTTCTCACAATGCTAATTGCTACATCGGGCTTAAATTCAAAAGGAAACCTTTATCCAGGCACATAGAACAAAATACCTCCCATTTTCAGCCTTTTATGTCTCAACACTGCAGCCATTAGCTGTGGGAAGAGGGGCAAATTGCACATGCCAGGGAGGGGATATTGTCATACAAGATGAAGGCAGAGGATGCAGCAACAGAATCTGTACCTGTGATTTGTGGGCATTTGCGTGCTCAGTTTTTAACATCTTGGCCTCTGGTGGCATTGTACCTATGCTACCCAGAGGTTAAACAAACTGCACAGGCAGAGGGCTCAGCCTCCACGAGACTTCTCTCATTTCAGATCCCAGCTGACTACACATTCAGGGAGTCCCGACAACTACCCTCAGTTTCAGTGATGTGCTAGAAAGCTTACAGAACTTGGGAAAATGCTCTGTTTATGGCTGCAGTTTTATCATAATGAAAGACTACAAATTAAAATTAGCCAGGGAAAAACAGCACAGTCTGCGAGGGTTGTAAAGGTGGATTCATCCTTTCCCCACACGGAGCCATGGCTGACATTACCTCCTTTATGCCGTGAGGTGAAAATACACACAAAACCATGGCCAGCTAGGGAAGCCTTTCTTCTCCTGGAATTTGTTATACATTGCTCAGTTGGCTGACCTTTCATCTCCAGCCCCTCCTGGGAATCTGGTTAACCATCAGTTCCTCAGAGCTTGAGAATGACATCTATTTCCCAAAGTCCTCATAAATCAGATTGTTAGGTGGTCTAATGGCTAAATCCCCAGACAAGTTAAGATATTCCAGGAGCCTATGGATCACCTCCCAAAGGGGAAGAGCAAAGGCCAGTTCTCTCATTAGGCAAGGTTAATTCTATACCAGTCATGTAATTGCTTTAGGACCTATACTTAAATTTGATATCTTGGGACATAAGTCCTTGCCCAAATCCATGCTCTGGAAGACATAGACCTATGTAGAGTTGCATAGATCTTATATTCATAGTAGGAGAAAGGAAAATGATAAAAAAGTAATGTAAGTTGTTACATATATAATGAATATACAAATAGTCTGGCGACCTAATAATCTATGGTCAAGTATGACTTCTTGGTAAGAAACTATTTGAAGTGTTGTTACAGAGGCTGTGGTAAGAGGAGAGTATATGAGGAAGACTAAAAGCAAAAATGTATTTGATTCTGGATGATAGGAAATAAATATACCTGAACTATGAAATTCAGGAGAAAAACCAGACTTCGCAAGAAAAGAGATATGGAATCAAGTTATGGACAATGTTGAATTTGGTGCCCGCAGTTCATTCTCAGAAGGAGAGATCTAATGGATAATTGAATATAAAAAACTAAAATTTTCTGTTGATATTCATGGTAAACTCTGCCTTAGCACTGGTCCCTTTTCCAGTGAAACATTTCTGACTGTGATGAGCTATGTTGTCAACCTTAGCAAGAAAGGTATGAAACCCAGGCAGGTTTATGTCAGAGTTCCAAATATTTAGGTAAAAGATTAGACAGTAACTAGTTGATCATATAGATTCATGTGTGAATTGTGTATCATCGAGAATCATATATTTTATGAATCTTCTCTTTAGGTCATTGAAAGAGTATTTTTCATTTGTATATTATCAAATATCACAGGAAAAGTTAAACCACCAGAGAAATGGATCAAGAGGACCATCATCCTGTAAAGTGACAATCTTTTGTAGGAGACGTTGTTTCAATACATTTGTAAAGATTTCATTGGCGGAAAGAAGAATGCATGATTAACAAGTGATAGAAAGTACAAAGATCTAAGCAGGGAAAAATATACAAGTGTGCCGAGTTTGTTTTATCGGATGGGGAAAGTGTGAATGGTGTGTGTGTGTGGGAATTCAGAAGTTAGTGTTGTTAAAAGTAAGTCATTAGCATTTAGGAGTTAGTTCAAATTAGAAGCAAGCATTGTGGCTGGCACCGTGACTCACTTGGTTAGTCCTCCACCTGTGGTGTCAGCATCCCATATGGGCGCCGGGTTCTAGTCCCGATTGCTCCTCTTCCAGGCCAGCTCTCTGCTGTGGCCTGGGGAAGGCAGTGGAGGATGGCCCAAGTGCTTGGGCCCCTGAATCCGCATGTGAGACCAGGAAGAAGTACCTGGCTCCTGGCTTCAGATCAGTGTAGCTCGGGCCATGGCGGCGGCCATTTGGGGGTGAATCAACGGAAGGAAGACCTTTCTCTCTGTCTCTCTCTCTCACTGTCTAACTCTATTTGTAAAAAAAGAGGAGACAAAAACAATAGGAAGCAAGTGTTGACTTGCCCTGGAAGATGTGCCAAGGGATTTAATACATACATACATACATACATGCATGTGTATGTGCATGTGTGTATATTACATAATGCATATTACAAGTACACACACACATTGCTTGCTCTCAATCACCACTTCTCAGTAGTTAACAGCATCTGATGGCTCCTGATTCTAACACTGATTTCAGGATTTACCAATTTCATTACCTTTTGCAATTTGCAATTCAAATACCTACTCTTATAAGAAATTTTCCACTGAGTGTACAGTTATTTTAAAGATCATATGAGATATTCACAAAGCTCTTATTCCATAGCCTGGAATATTTCAGTTCCTGGGTACAGGAGTTAATATATTGCTTAGTGCCAGGATTTGAATTTTTCTCTCTCTAAAACTCATGTTGAAATGTAATTGCCACTGTAATAGTGTTAAGAGGTGGGTCTTTTCAAGGTGGTTAGGCCATGGGTTGGATTAATGTCTTTATAAAAGGGTAAGTTCAGTCCCTTCTTGCCTGTTTGTCCTCCTGCTTTCTGTCATGTGTGATGCAGCAAGAAGGCCTTCAACAGAACTTCCCAGACTCCAGAACTGTGAGAAAATAAATTTGTGTTCATTATAAATTATCTGACCTCCAGTAGTATGTCCAATAGCCCAACATTGAATGATATATCTAGCATGCAAATGAGGGAATATGTTCAGGCTCTAACCATTGTTTCACTCTATCAGTTTTATCAGTTTCTCTCATATGAAAATACATTTATAATTTTACCATTTTGAATATTTAAAAGTTATCTGAGGCATCTATAATTATATAATATACATTATACATACACTCAAAGATGTGTGCACAGAAAGAGAGAAATTGAAGGAGAGAGAGAAACGTTAATTTCCAATGCACTAGTCCACTCTGTAAATGCTCTCAATGGCCAGGACTGGGCCGAGCCAAAGCCAGAAACCAGGAACTCAGTCCAGGTGTTCTCATGTGGTTGGTAGGAACCCAGCTACTGGACCCACCACAGCTGCTTCCCAGGATCTGCATTGCAGGAAACTGTAGTCAGGAGCCAGAGGTGAATATCGTACCCAGGCATTCAGTAAAGGGCACTAGCATCTTAAATGGTGCCTTAACCACTAGGCCTAACACTTTCCCCTAACCATACTTTGAAGGTATTACCAGCTTCTCTGTTGCCTTTGAAAATTAAAATAACATTTTATTACTTATACTAATAATCAAAATAATTTTACATCAACATAAATATTTATGGAACTCTATTTTTGCCTTGTCCATGGATCTCATTTTTATTCTTATTCTTGGAAAAACATTATTTGATTACCATTTAGAAATACACCTACTGAGGCATATACACACACACACACACAAACATACCGAATCCAATAAATATTTGAAAGCTAAAAATTAAAAATTTGAATTACTTGTGAATATCAAACATCTTCAATGTGCATCTGTGGAAAATCCTACTACAAAGTAAAATTTCCAAAGGAAAATGGATCTGTAAAATTATATTTTGTATAGTATATTACATTGATTTCTGAGAAAATACTTATATTGCTGGTTCTGCATCTGTTCCTCTCAATATAGAAAATAGGCAACAGATAATTCTTAAAACACTTAAAAATATGTTCAAAGTTAAATTATCACTGAACTTTTAAAATATATGGGACACAATAGATGGAGCACTTCTCTCTCTCTTTTTCTCTGT